GCCCCAGGCTGCCTGCAGCTGGGTCCCGCCACGCAGGCGCCGCCACCCCCACCTGGAACACGATCCCCAGGGAGCAGTACCCGCGATACTCCCCGTGACGCTGCACTTCGGACAGGAAACGTTCCACCACAGGCTGCGGTGTTGCGCAGGGATGTGTGGATTGATGTGCGCAGGTGTATGGATGTGTATGGATGTGAAGGTGTGCCCGCTCATGCGCGCCCAATGCACAGAACAAATCATGGTGCAGCTTAAAGATGTTGCAGGCGGGCCGCCTCTTTGCAGCCAGGAGTAGCTGCTGCATCTGCGCGGCCCCGACATCCATCCCGCGCCCTCACGATGGGAATGATGTATCCAATGGAGTCCGCGCTGGGCAGGTTCTGGAAGGCCACGCCCACCACCACGTTGCCGCCACCTGCGCCGCGAAGGGCCGGGCCGCCACTGCAGGGAGGAGGCGAGGCAAGGAGGCGGTACAGCTCGAAGTTGTGGCATCGCCTTTGTTCCTACCATATCCTGAACAGTGGCGTCACTGCCAGGCCAGGGCACGGAGACACGTGCGGCTCTTGCCCCCAGTGCCCTGCCCACCTGTTCCCGGGGTTGATGGCGGCGTCAATCTGTATCGCCATGAGGTGGCTGGCGGCGTGCACGTACTGCGTCACCTCGACACGCGACACCACGCCACTGGGGGAGGGGTGGCCGAGGACGAGATGGTGGGGCAGCACTTAGTAATGCAGGAAATGGTCCAGCTCCCAGGACGACTGCTGTGTATAACGCAACGGGATTGACGGCCCGGGGAGGGCTTCAGTGGGCCTACTGTTGCGATTGCCGCCCACCTGGTGACGCTGGTGTTGTCACCGCCTGTTGGGTAGCCAATCACCTGGGGGCCGAAGTGCGATGCACGCAGTGGAGTGTAAAAGGCACGCGCGCAGCAGCACAACCTCCAACGCACCAACCTCTCTCGAAGCTGCGCCTGCACACCGTGCAGTTCACGCCCTGGGCGCAGCGCAAGCACACTCTGGACGCCAAGTTGGGTCTGCATGCCTTCCTCCTTTCCTTTTTACTTTCCACTGGCCCCTCAAACAACAGGTCACAACCCACCAGCACATTCTCCTGCAGTGTTGGGACGTCCCCCATGGCCAGGGGCAGCATGGGCGTGGGCTCCACCCAGAAGCTGTCGTCGCTCACGGTCAGCAGGGCCAGGTCCACCGCGTGGCCCACGGCCACCACTGCAGGGGCCCAAGCGGGGGAGTGCCAAGGGGTGAGTGAGGGATCCAGAAGCATGCCAGGGCAGGAGAAAGCGCGGTGGGTGCTGCCTGGCAGCCATTTGTTACCCATGCTGAGGTGACAGCTGCGCCGCAACGCCTTGTGACCCCGACATCGCCGTCCACTGCCCAACACCTTCCACCCCAACAACCAGCGTGACCGCCTGCGCGGCCCCGGCGCCCCACCGTCTGCGCGGTACTTTGTCCCGGAGCCGTGGCGCTTGACCGTGATGTAGGTCTGGTCAGCCACCACGTGGGCGTTGGTCAGGATGAGGCGGTCACGGATGACAAATCCGGTGCCTGGGCGGAGGGCCGGGGGGCGCAGCACAGCAGCAGTGAAAACGAGTCCTTGGGGTTGCCAAGAGCAACCGCTAAGCAGTTCTGACGGGGTCCCTGGCCACCAACACCCACAGCAGCCACCGCCTCCGCCACCACAGACTGAGGAGGCGCAGTGCCTCACCTGTGCCCTCCCGCTTGGGGTGAGCCTGCCAGGGCAGCAGCCAGTCTGACCGCGAGTACACGCAGTAGATCTTCACAATGGAGTCCAGGACACCCTCGCCTGGAGGCATGGGGCCGTAGGGGCAACGCCAAATGCGGGGTTTAGGGTGGGCGTCTAGGGCCGGGCGACCAGTTGCCATACAAACCAAGACGCGGGTCCACCACTGCGCAGCCCGAAAGCCAGCCCGGTCCATGACTCAGCGCCAGACACGACCCCCAAGATCGCTTCCCGTAGCCTCTCAAGAGCTGCCGCTCGGGCCGAGGCCGCCCCGAGATTTGGTGCTTGAGCAACATCGAGGCAGGCCCGCAGCAGGCATGCCTGCCATGCGGCTTAGGCCCAGACCCGATGCGCACGCCTCTGCCTGCGCGGCCGGCCAGTGAGCGCGCACCTGAGGCGAACACCTCGGGCTGCGCCTCCAGCTGCTCCACTGCCAGGCGCTTGAGCGCCTCGTCGATGGCGCCGTGCCTTGGCGCACCAGCATGGTGCGGCGCCCCGCTACGGACAGCCATGCGGCCGCCCCGGCGGAAGGGCAAGCCAGGCGCCGTAGCCAATGTGCGCGCAGCGAGGTAGGGTGGCATCAGGGCCGGCTGCGCGCGCTGCACGACACTGCGGCTGAGGTGGAGCTGCTGCGGCGGCGGAGGCGGCGCGGCACGAGGCGTTCCGGCCACCCCGCGGTGCAGCCGCGACAGCATGCGGGGCAAGCAGCTACTAGCTATATTTGAGTGCGCAAAAAAAGCCCTCCTCAGCACCATCTACCAGGCGGAAAAGCCCGCCCCAATGCACGAGAAGAAATTGTGCAGATCTACAAATCACGGGGCCGTCGATGCTGGTGATTTACTAAACTTCATAATTTGTTATATACTGACACAGGTTGATATGTAAGAGAAGGCGCCATGTATACCTACTGCTAGTAGTGTTGCATGATCAGCGAGCGAGAACTGCCCAGAGCCAAGACCCCCCCGCAATGGAAGCAGACGTCCTTCAGGGCTGGATTTGCAAGAAAAGTGAGGGCGCGAGGGGGGGGTGCGGAGCTATGTCAGGTTGCCCAAACACGCCGATCGGCTGGTTTCGGTTTGCGCCGTGCAGGCCCCCACCGTCGAAAAGTCACCACTGCCGCCCTGTGCGCACGGATCTGCGCACCCACAGGCGACTACAAGAAGGACTGGCGGCGCCGCTACTTCCTTGTCCGCGGCGGCAGCGAACCGCGCATATCTTACTTCCGGGAGTGGACAGCGGGTGCAGAGGACGCTCCAACGGCGGAGGCTTACCTGCGGGGCGCCACAATCACCGTGAGCAGTGCTGGAAAAGGGACCAGCGAGATCGGGAGAGTATAGTGGCGCTCCCATGGGGCGAGCAAACTTGGACCCAGGCACTGCTGCTGCTGCTGCTGCCGCTGCGGCTGTTGGTTCACCAGTACGAGGCATTCACACATCGCACTGCTGCATGAGAACATGTTGCTGCTGCATGGGGCATGCCCCAGCATTCCCTTGAGCAGCGGCATCACATGGCAGCTGCGTCTAACACGCGACACCGTCCTCGCCACCTTGCGGCAGAACGTGAGACACTCTGAGGGGCTCTACTGCTGGACGTTGCAGCTGGCACCCAACTCGGTCAGCAAAACGTCATCGGGCCCTTGCTGGGTACTGGGAGCACCTACGGAAGACACGCGGCGGCAGTGGCTTGAGGCAATCATAGCCGTGCAGCAGGCCATGGGGAAAGCCACGTGCGTGGACAGTGCGACAGGGGCAGCGGGCAGCGGAGGCGGCCTGGCGCCGCTGCCTGCGCCGGCAGCTCTGCGCAGCCCAGGGCGATCTTCATGGCTGCGTGACACCGGCGGCGGGCTGGCAAGCAGCAGCGGCGGGGCCAGCGGCGGGGGCAGCGCCTGTGGTGACATACAGCAGCAGATGCGGCCGCCGTCGGCAGCGGCAAGCACAGGCGAAACCTCTCCGTGTGGTGAGTCACAACTATGCGCTGCATCGCCCAATTTTCTGGGACGGCTCCACAACGCCTTCCCAGCTGCGCCATTTGTCCTCTATCCCCCCCTGTTCTCCTCAAACCGGATTTCCATTCCGCTGCAGGCCAGGACCTGGCCTCGACCCCGGCGTCTCGGGGCTCCAACCGCTGGGGCCTCTTCAGGGTGCTGTTCGGCGCCGGCGGCGAGGGCCAGGGCGGGGACATCAGGTGGGCACAGGGGCAGGGGGGGGCTCCTTGGGGTGGCGACGGCTGGGCAGGGGGCGCCGGTCTTTAAAGGTGCTGTAGCATGGCCGACTGGCTATTGGACGCTCACAGGCTGTTGATATACGCGGCCCTCAGTGATGCACTTTGTTGAGACCCTCTTTCGCTGGCTTCCTACACCAGCTTTGTGGCGCGCCCTCGCATATATCCCACTACAGCCCCCACAGGGCAACCAGCGGCGACGCCACCGGCGACGCCACCTGGCGCCTGCCTTACCGCCACCAGCATCAAGGCGGGGCGCGGCGCTCTCGGCCCCAGCCCCTGGGCCCTGAGACGCAGCAGCTCGAGCTCATCATGGCGGGGCTGGGGGCAGGGGGCGCTAGGGCCGCGGCGGCTTCGGCAGGACGTGCTGCGGGCGCTGGGCAGATTTCGGGGACGGCGGAAGGTGGGAGGGAGGGGCCAGTTTGGCTGCTGGCCGGGGATGTGTGCTTATGACGCTGCTCTTGAGGTGTGTCTGCATTTGTGAAGACCTCCGCACAGGAGAGTGATCCCGTGCACCTTCTCCGCCCAACAAGCCCTCTCTGCCCCCGTGGCCAGGCGCAAATGAAGGCGACGGCTCAGGGCTGGCCGAGCACCTGGCGGAGGCGTTTGAGCGCGCGCAGCAATTCGTGGCAAAAAACACCCGCAGCTTGCCGGACGCGCGGCTGAGAACGCTGCAGGTGAGAGACATTTGAGGAGTAGTATGTATGGGTGGTGGAGCTGGCGGGTTGAATCCGACCACCCTGTGCTCTGCAGAACATTACTCAGGCCTCCTGTCCGCCATCACGGTGCCCCGCCCCGCCCTGCCCTGCCTTACAGAGGTGGCTGGACACACTGCCGGCCTCCCAGCATGTCGGCAGTGGGGGCGGCGGCTCGGCCCCGGTGTCGCGTGCGGACGTGCTGGCAGCCCAGGTGAGGGGCGGATCCCCATTGCCAGGGCCCTCGCTGTTGTCCAGCACGCTGCACTGATGCAGACTGTGACGCCCTTGCCCCAGGCCACTCCCGGACACTGCCCATCGAGCGAGCCACCCTGGCGGTCCGGCTGTATGGACCTCCCTCCCTCCTTTCCTCGCCATCCAAAAGGCGCTGTATGTGCTGGAGGTCACTCGGCTCCGGCCGGACTGGGCGGACTGGGGCGTCACGGACAACACCTTTGCCAGCCCAGAGGTCGGCCACACGGCTGCGGGGGAGCGTATTCCTCCCTGATACATGCCTGACCGCCGGCTGGGGCAGGCTGCTTCCGACGACTCAACCTGACCTGGCAAAGCGGGGTGGTTTGTCATGTTCATCTCGCACAGCGGGGTGCTGACACATCACCCCACTGAGGTGTCAGCGTGCTCATGGGCTGGCATTGTCATCACCAACCCCACCCTCCCGCCAAACCGCCCTCCTCGGCCGCGGCCAGGCCATGATCGTTGAGCTGCGCCGCGCCCCCGGCACAGACGCGCTGCTGGGCCTCAAGGAGTCGCTGGACTTTGCCAGTGGCGCGTGGAGCGGCCTCTTCTGCAGGATGGGAGGCGCGACGGTGCTGGCGCAGGTGGGAAGAGGTCCCGGGATCGCGGCAGCCAAGGTTCCAAACGTAGCAAAGGGCTGGCCTGGTCTCGGAGTGGTTGGATTATGGCAGCTTTTGATAGGTGCAGGGGCTTGGCTGGCACGCGGTGGCTCGTGCTGCCGGTGCTCTGGGACGCTGAAAAGGGTTGGGGCCGTGGCCCTGCCATGGTGAATGCGCAGGTGGCTTGATGCTGGCAAGGCCTGCGGCTTCAACCCCCTTTCCACTCAATACAGCTCACCCACGCCGCCACAGGCGCTGGCTCAGCACGTCACCCGCGCGCTCGCCTCATCGGGCCCCGCCGACCAAGATGCGCGCGAGGGCCTCAGCGCGGCGCTGCAGTGCTGCCACGCGCTCATGTCGCGCGGCGGCATGGACTCACTGCTGGCGGCGCCCTCCTGCATGCGACACCTGGCCGCCAGCTTGGCGGCTGATGTGGCCGGCGCAGGCTCGGGGGATGAGGCGCGGCTCGCGCTGGAGATGATGACTAAAGCCCTGGTGGGCGGGCTTACAAGGAGTTAGTTTGCAGCGAGGCAAAGATGACAGTAGGCGGAAGCTGCTGCTGGGTTGTGCCTGCCGGGTGTGGGGTTGAAAATGGGCAGGTGGGGTGCGCGACTGCCTTCTCTTGCTCCCGCCACCTGCAAACTTGCAATTGCAC